GGTGTGCTTGATTATGGTTGGAGCCCAACTCTGCAGGACTGCAGCTCTCCAGGACCGGAGTTCGCCACCGCTGGTCTATGGTCTTAAGTACAAATGGTGCTTAACTCTTGGGAAATACACTGCCTTGTTTCTCAGTGGTCCAGTCCCTCTGAAGTGCTGCACAGCTATAAATCAAAGGAGATCTGGATCGCTCCACCTCAGTTCTACGAGCTTGGACGCATGTGCCGGTGTCCAGCTCTCGCAGATCTCCATCGCTTTGCCTGGCAGAGGTCTTTGGAGGGTTGCGAACAGTGGCTGCCTATTCACCTGGTGGCGCCTGACTGCTTTGCAAGCATTTTACCAGGTAATTATGTCAAGTAATAAATTAAGACATTTCTGCTAATTATCGCCTCTTTATCAAACAATGTTTCTCTTCATTAATACATAGGGGATGCTCTGTACCCGGAAAAAGTGGACCGTTCTGTTAAGAGCGGCGGCGTGATGAAAACTGAGAAAAGTATTGAAGAGCTCCAGCAGGACAGTGCAAACCTGCACCGTATCGTCGGCCAGGATCCATATTCAATAACTGTCCGAATGAACATCACACCCAAGTATAAACACCTGTCTCCTCTCTTCGGTACAGATGTGGACAACCCCTCCAAAAACCAAAGTAAACTCTGACACTTACCTTCCAAACAGGTGAACGTGATACACGTAGAAAGGTTTTTTTTTTTTTTTTTTTTTAATAATAAATAAACAGAATAAAAGGTAGATGGAAAAGAAATATAATAGATAGAGCTAGTGTTAGAGGGTCAAGTTATTATTATTTTTGTATAATAATTAAAATATAAACAAGCAGATAGAATAGAAGTAGAATAGAGAGTTCTAGTGTCAAATTAAATTAAAACAAATTCTAACAATATGGATTATAAATTCAATGTCTGTGTTACTTACTTACTGGAGAAGAGGAGAGAAGTATCCTCAGCTTAACAGAGCTTCTCACACTTACATGTGACCAAAAAACTATAAAGAGAAAATAACATGTTTGATTGGAAACCAGTTACAATTTTAAAGTTAAATTTGTATTTAAATTAAAGAATGAAATCATTTACCTGTTGAGAGTGTGTTGACAGTTAGTCTGGGCTCCAGAAAATCAGTAATGAGGTGCTTAGACAGTTACAGATTTGAAAAACAAAAAGGCGGGAATAAAGGACCCTAAACTATAACACAAAGAACTATTTCAGCATAAAAGGGATCTTCAGGATGCTATGGTTCTAAATAGAACTTTTACTACACGTAAAGAACCTTTAAAGAACCATCTTTTTTTAGAGTGTACTGTAGCGAGATTTCTTCGTCGCCCAGTTTTAATATCATTGCAGGTGGGATTTCTTCGCCCAAGATCAGATTAATTTATTCTGGTAACATTTATACGGGCTGCTAATCTGAGATTTCTTCGTCAGCGAGGCTTACGCTCTACTAACAACAGAAATGAGGATTTCTTCACTAACATCATGTTAGTTTCTTATCGTACAATTTAAACATGCATTATAACATTGAGAAACTTTCTACTGCTTGTAGTAAGGCGCATTCAAGCTATCTATCTGATTTTATCAGAAGCTGCATGTGTAAGACGTTAATAACATTTATGAGACAAACACATAAGTCTGATACGGAGTCCACTTGCAAATAATGTTTAAAACGATGCCCGCATTCTCCACCATAAGAAATGTATATAAATAATTACAATTAATTATAATTAATTACAATTATTTATATCAGCTGCCAGTAGTAACTGTAGCAGAATTAATATTGTCATCAACTAATCTGTTCGTCCAGCGAACATTCAGTGTAATTGTATATCAACTCTAAGAAATTATACTTCCGTGGCCACAGAAAATAACCTTCTTACAGTATTAATGAATTAGAGCATGTAGCTTGATCGGAATCGTAAAAGTGACATTGAATTTACAAGCGGTGACAGAATCAGAAGCTCATGTAATTCGTGCACAAAAGTTTTATTAACTAAACACTAACTTTGTCTAAACAAACAAACAAATAAACATACACTCACGCATACATACAAAGGGGAGCTAAATTGGATAAATGAAGCCATTAGAGAAACCAGAGAATGCAGTTATGGAAAATGAGTCAGAACCACCTGAGTTAAAAACCATCAGTGCCATTTTACAACGGGGTCTACAGCTTATACTAAACCTAGGGTGACCATACGGACCATTTTTACGGGACGCACCCTTGCCAGGATTTCTATATTGCCTAAAATATCCAGGTTTTGGCTGTTTGCACTGTGCAGATCGATCGTTGTATGACTATAAGAGTTGTAAGAGCTTATAGAATGCAGAGCAGATGGCTCCCTATGCTTTCAAATCGCTCTCGCGGTACTGTGGTGTCATACAATGATCGGTGCGCAGCTTCAAATCGAACGATCAAACGAACGAAGAAACACGTGCGCGTATTTGCATCGCTTTGATTGTTCTTACATTCTCACGCACTAAGCGCCACAATTGGTCGATTATGTACAATACCTGCATGTTATCGGTCAAACTACTTTGGATGTTTTACGCAATATAAAAATCCTGGTGAGGACATGTCCTGTGTAAATGGCACATATGGCTACACTAACTAAACCTCTGTTTCGTTTAGTTAAAGTCCCCCTGTAGTGAAAATCAAGTTTTTTATGTTGTTTATTTGTCTATATGGTGTTTTTAATATGCCTTTAGACAAACCATGTGCCAATCTATTAATCAACACCATTGCTGAGTATTTTCACTGTGGTGCTCCAGGACATTTCATCAGCTTCTGCCCAGTCAAACCCCCACGCCCGGCGGTGAGTACCCTCCAAATAGAACCAGAAATATCGAAATTATCCCTGCTGCCAGTGCAACTGCTAACCCAAAACCTCTCGGTTTAAGTTTCAGCCCTCACTCGGGCTCTTCGGGCAATTTAATATCCTGTGACCTCCTAAAGCGTCTCCATTTACCCCGCCTACGTCAAGCCCAGGAGCTCCGAGTCGAGACAATGCTGAACTCTCAGACGGTGAAACTGCCATACCCACTTCCCCTGGTCCCAGCTGCCCTGGAGGAACTCCGTGGAGCTTACAGCCTGTCAGGAAATCATCGCAATCACTCACGTCAGCACAGTCACCTCCTCCAACACACACCAGATCCCAATCACCCGAATTCTGATCACCTGCACCTGCATCACCAATTAAGCCCATTATATCTTCTCACTCCACTCAGCATTCCAGTGTCCGGTCTACCGTTCACTATCTGAACATTGCCAGACTCCTTACATACGTTACTAACTGTTGTTTCCTTACCTCCAGAAGTGAATTCAGTCTCCGCGATTCCGATTCTCCTCAGCCCCGGTTCATCTCCAGGATTCCTACTACTATCAATACCCCGATTACCAGGAAGCTAAGAAACCCATACTCTCCCATATCTCCTACTCACCTGCCTTCGATCCTGACCATCACAGCATTGTCAATAAACCCCTCTGTTTACCTGAACTCCTCTTGTCTCTTGCCTGTTTGTGACAGTTACAGTATTCACTGTAGTTGTCCGCTAGTAAAAAGATAGTTTTATTAGTCATTATCCGTGTATGCCATTGTTTTGCGTTTACTACAGTTCAGTGGATCAGGAGGCGCTGGCTGGTGTGACTGAGTGGAGGCGGGACTAATTTGCGTATTCATAGATCAGCGTATAGTAAATGAGGCAAGGGTGTAGAGTTGCATTCAAGCTATTTTAAGGAATGAGAAAATTATTTTCACAATAAAAAACATTTAAATATGTAATTTTGATGATCAAAGATAAGTTTTAAGGGATAAAATATTTGACTACAGGGGGACTTTAAATGTACGATACTTGCATTGCCTTGGTCGTTGGACGAGTGTCCGGTTGCAGTCTCGGATGAAAGTCTTGATGGTTTCAAGGTTTGGTGGCATTGGACTTGTGATCACGTTCTTCCGGGTTGAAGAGTGATGAACTCCTAAGATGTTACTCCGACTCGATGGTGATTGGGAGAGTTTTCTCCCTGATGAAAAGTGAAGAAGAGCTAAGAGAGACATCAGCTGAGATTCGAGGATCTTTGGTTGAATGGAAAGACAAGGCCGAAAGCCTGGCACAAACTTAAAGTTTCCAGAAGAGTTCTAGCTCACATCCTCACATTCTCAGAATCTGCAAGAAGCTAATCTGAGCTGTGTCGAGGCCTGCCAGGCCTGCGCCAGCTCTGGGACTTAGCAACTAGAAGACGGGAAGGTGATGAGAGACGAGTCAAGAGACTAAAAAGCGAGACGGGTCACTGAATTGAGGCCTTTTAAGTTATGTGGAGGTCACACCTCTTAGAGCATGGTATTTTGCATATGCAATTCGATTGGGTGTTGATGTAAAATCTACTAAACATTATTAGAACACTAATATGTTGCATAGGTATAAACATATAATATACACTCTCAATTAGATCATCCGAAGACGAATTCATAGAGACCAAACATTGTATAGGTGAGGTTAAATTAACTAGTGATCTATCATTAGCATGCATAAAACAGTATACAATACACAAGACCATATACAAGGAGGTAATAATCATACACAAAGACCTGGGGATATGCATGATAGGAAAGTCATAGAAAAATTTGTCTATGAATTAATGAAAGAAGTCATTTCCTATAGCAGTATGTGTCTGTTTTAGAGAGAATTGACCGTTCGCAAAGACCCGCCTTCCTTAGTTACTGTTGCCATCCCCGACAAACATTGCCACTCTCACACTACACTCATGTTCTCACGCAGTGAAAAATAGACCCCACTTTATATTAAGTGGCCTTAACTACTATGTACTTACATCAAAAATTAAGTACAATGTACTTATTGTGTTCATATTGTATTGCAAAACACTTTTGCTGCTATTAAGGTGGGATACGGGTAAGGTTAGGGACAGGTTTGTTGGTATGGGTAGGTTTAAGGGTGGGTTAAGGTGTAAGGGATGGGTCAACTGTGTAATTATAAATGTAAGAGTGATTACATTTACTAGGGCATAACTATAGTCCTGAGAACCAAGTAATAAGCATAATCTGAATAGGAATGCTCTCCATCTTCCTTTTCCCTCCTCTACTTCACTTCCTCAGAGATTGAGCCTGTTGTGAACCATCAGTAAGTTCTGAGTGATAATTTGACAATAAGAACAGTCTTAAGTCATCAATCAGAACTCTGTTTACGCCCTTTTCAGCAAACATATGCTGACCCAAACCTATCTTAGCATTCTGTCATCCACAGCTAAGATAATAACCTAATACTTCAGCTAACCACACCTGGCAAAACCTAGCTGTAAAACCTAGCTCCACACTCTGTTTGATCTTGTATTAGTCTCTAGCCCTTACTCTCAACACAAGTTTGCCAAAATGTTACAGATGCTCAGACTAACTGCCCAGAATGCAGACCAAAGAGGACTGGCCAGGCGTTGTGAGGAACACCCTTCTACCCAGGGCTGACGACCACCTACTGAGCCGAAAGCAACTGGACACAGAGGGAAGAATACCACAGACTCATGACTCAAGCGAGAGTTATGGCTACAAAGAGCTCACCAAGATCATCATCTTCCTGGCCCACTATCTCTTAGCAAAAAAAAAAAATAACTAAATAGTTAAAATCTTCCTTCTTCCTTTTCTTTTTTGATTTCATT